ACAACTTTCCTTTGGCGCCGAATTTCGTTCCGCTTTGATGAAGGTTTTGAATCTTAACTGCTTAGGTTGTGTAATGACCACAAGTTTTGGAAAACAAAAAGATCTGTTATTGTTTCCTAATTCTGAGGTTGCAGGAATCACCGGCAGAGACGAAAATTTCCTTTCATTAGTGGCAGCTCATCACCTCATGTTTCGTTAGTTTGCCTTCAGGAATCATTAGACGTGATCACCTGTCAAAACTCCCGGTTATGGAGAAATTTGGACAATTTATAGAAAACTTAAAACTTAGAAAACTTCCACGTTTTGCACTTTATTTCATATATTTGCTTTGGGCCGTTACTTTCTTGTGCCCCAAATGCTATGCCTTATTTTCTGAAGTTTCAAACGCTTTACTGACTTTTACTCCAAGATCACAATTTGGAACAACATCGTTGTCTCACTGTTGATTGAGTCTCGCCCGTTCTTTCAGCTTGTTTGTCTTTCCTAAACCAGGTTTTTACAATGAAGATAGGTGATACAAACTTGGTGGTAGCTTCAACATCTCCGGCTCACAAAGCCGAGTGCGCTGGTGTGTTTCTTCGATGTCAGGCCAAGAGAATTGCGCACCAAGTTTTACTTTTTTTGGTCCGGCCTTATGAGTTTTCCAATGCTAAATACTTGCTTCGCTCCTCTGGTGTGCCACTTGCATCGCAAGATTTGCGCCCTGTTGCATTGGATGGGACCTCTGATTGCGATTAACTGGGTTTGCTCAAAATGTCAACTTGAGGGGCCCGTTATTACACTCGTGATAACTACAGCAATTGCCTCTGGACACACCCACATTTCCCAATTCGTTTGTTACAAGCCAGAGTATGAGAAGCAAATAGAACCATGATGGTATCGTGTGAAACGTACTGCGAGTGAAATGTGCTAGCAAGAAAAAGGCATCTGTCATCATGGAAGGAAAGCCCAAATTCAGTTGTTTGGGAGGAGTCCCACTGAATTATTTGCAATCATCTGTCGCCTATACCTGTATTTTATTGAAAATGGTTGTGGAAAATGTCTACCATGCTAACTTATGCCAAATATCAGCGTTCCTCCACAATTGCGCACTTATTTTGATACTCGCGTGCCGGTTTGAGTCGATGGGTGGTCAACTGTTTTTGTTTTAATGCAGTCTGTAGATGCCGCCTGCTGGGTCTTCTTAACAAATTTTCATATATATTCCACCTAGTTTCAGTTTGTTTTCAATGACAGACTCATTTTTCAGTCTCATTCGATCACAATGCCTTGTTCTGACATCGAATCATGATAAATAAACCGGAACTGATATCATCAAGCGACAACCGACGTCTGAGTTTGTGATTAAATTTCACGTTCCTATCTGATTTGTCCCAAAAGCAAAGCCGATTTAAGCCACAGTGCTGGAAGCCTTTGGACAGTAATTCAGTTACATCCAAAGATCCATGCTAAGCCAAAAAGTTGAGGGGATTCAGGAAGGGAAACAAAGTTTTACAGTCATCGCGCAACTTCTCTTCATATCGAGCAGTTGAAACGCAGGCAAATGCTTTCGAAGTAGTTTCGTGAAATGTCTTGATTTATCGAGCAAAAGGATTAGAGGGGGAATCAAGTGAATGAGTAATGGGCTCTCTGGTTTTAGTGATCTGTGTTCGCTTGCCCCTGTGTGCTCTCTGCGTACTTTCGACGATTTCATGCGTGGTACATGGCGTTGAGTGTAAATTCCTGCCAGTGAATCATACCAGACCCCATTGATGGACACTTTGTGCCCGATATACGAGTCTTGATTGTGCTAACGTTTACGGCATCTTGAATAGCATTCAGCATTGCTTGTCCTTTCCTCAGTTGTTGGTCTTTGCATGCATGTTTTCATACCAAACGTTCTCGCATATGTCGGGATTCATCTTGTCCAACTGGAACTATTGGAGGCGTGACTTCGAATGAGACGCTTCTCTCTTTTTACCCAATGTTTTCCTGTAACCCTTCTTCATGTACTTTTCATGTATGTGACCACGCTCTTCAAAAACAAACGCCAGTTCTAAATCCCCACTGCTTTTCTCTGTGCAGCGCCTGGGAATCAGTCCTACCCCCCACGGTTTTTCTTCAAGTTTCAGATATAGCTTACCAAGTAAGCTAAGGATCTAAACCATAAAACTGCCTTCACCAGGCAAAATGTTCCAGAATATTCCAAATATGGTAGGAAAGTCCTGTCGCCAATGATAAGACTGAGCATCTGACCGAAAATCCGTGGATACTATCTACTATCTTCCGTTTCGACTCACTTTTTGGCTGCACAAAATTTCAACATTTCCCCTGAATCATTAGATTACGGTGACCGTAGGTTGACACCACACGGTGGTGGGTGATATCTCAAGGTGGTTTCCAGCATGCCATAAACATGATTTCTCCTTACAAAACAGCCACTGATGTGAAAACTCTCTTCTCGAATAGATCACATAACTGTGGTGGTAGCCAATGTAGAAATCGGTCTAAAATGTGCAAAAATTTCATCGGTGAAGGCTTTGCGTCACTAGGCCATGTCATCTACATTGACAACGCAACGTCTGCAATCGAGTTGTCAAATACGGCGAACAAAGCGACAAGCAAACACAAATGTTAACCTAATGTTACTAGTGACGTCTCTCCGAAAATTCAGCAATGTTGTCTTGACTAACAAGATGCGTAAAACGCGCAGGCTTTCTGTGAGAGCGCCGACTGGCAGGGAGGAGGCCTTTCCAACAGGGCACAAAGTTTGTTTGACAATTCAAGGTTAAACTTAACGTTCAAATGATCTTACATTCTGTCAGTTTTAGAGGAAGAAACGAACGGAACCTAACCAACTCTTTAGTGGTGCCGAATTAACCATCAGCAAACCGCTCATCAGGGGAAGTATGCCTCACTTCCTGGAACGAGTTTGAGCAAGCGTGGACAAACAAAAAAGTTTTGGTGAAACCTTGGCATTATGTAGCACCGGATGATCCCCAAAAGTTCACACTACCTAGCGACAGTTGGGACTTTGAATCGGTAATGTTAAGTGATTGAGCGGCACGTGGAATCCACTCGAGACTTGATTAAGGGACTAAAATCGTGCAAAACGCGTTGAAAATTTGCTTACTAAAATTGTGATGAAATTGTACTTCGAAATTGATAGGGTTTGTATGAAGCACAGCTATCTAAATCAACTTGAGTACTGGTGTAACGGTGGATACTACTGACGGGACATGCGAGTAGTATGTTTTCTTGTAAATCCTCTTCGTGTCTCTCGAAATGTGATGGCTATTACAGAATTTGTGGAGTCACTTTGTAGCATTTGCCTGCATTTGAGTAACAGTGAATTAATGTCTAGGAAATTTCAGCAAGACGAGTTCAAGGAGAAGATGGATATTAAGTTTTTGTAAACAAGATGCATATGAGAGTTTTGCTTCCCTGTCCAATAGTTTGTTACTGTTTAGCTGATGTTTTCTGATAAACAACTCCACAGCGAATGTTTTGGTCTTTTCGATAGTATGTAATAGTTTTGGCACCTTTATTTATTAACTGACATATCATAAAGGGGCATTTTTTAAAATTTAGATTACACGTATATTTTGCTATTTTATATTAGGTGTTTATATTATACATATACGTTTTATGATGTCATGAGTGCATTCCATAACAGGTTCATAGAATGTTGTTTATATTTTAAGAATAACGTAGATCATTCTCCGAGAAACGCACTCATTCGCAAATCAATCTGGCTTGCACGAAAGACTCACTTGAATCTCTCGTTTATGATATTCTACAACTGAATGTGCTGCACACAGGGCGCCTCATGTTTCAGTTGTCAAGTTATTCGAAATGTCGCAGTATGTCTTCATCAAGGAAACTACTCACAAGGTTGCTTGTGGAAGCCACACTGATTTGCAAATGAATATATTTCCCTGAAACAGTCCAATTCAGATTCAAGTAGAAAGTAACGTTGACGTAAACTCGGGGATTGCGCCCACCTGATGAGCCCCAAGAAGGGCGAAACCGGTCATGGGCTGTCGAAGAGTTTTCAACAACCTTGTGAGTAGTTTCCTTTATTAAATTATAAACCATTCTTTTTGGAACCCTGTAGGAGTTGCCACAAATATTATGAGGTGTTCCTGCAGAGTAAACGACCATGAATTATTCGTGTTATGCTTAATGTCTTGTCGAGTCGATAATATCTCGGGTGAGCAGAGAAATAGAGTCTCCTTTAATTTAAAACTACTTCAAACGAAAAAAGGGCAGATATTCCTGTGTAGTGACTCAGTTTTTTAGGTTTAGGATAATACTTCGCACCAACTAATCGTAACGCGAGAATACTTGCTGTTGAGAATAATGATAATGGTTTACGTGGGCCGTTGGTGCGTTCTCTGAGCTGGGCAATTCAACTACAAACGCCACATCGCCAAACGAAATGACGTCACTAGGGAGCGGAATCGGTGGTAGCACTAAGTCAGCCGTTGTGCTGATCACGGACGCACCACTATATCCCACTCCGCTCCTTAACAGCGCACAAATGACGTCGATTCAATTAGTAGTGAAACGTGTGACATTGACCATGGTCATTAGGTATCACGTTGTTGCTCACACAGAAACGGCTTCCTTTGGAAGGAAACTCGATCGCGACTGCCACATTGAATCGAAGAACGTAATAAAACTGTCTTAAAATTAAAACTTTGTGTAGCCGTTTTCTGTGATTTCTCCTCAACTCCAGCCCCACTATCAAATTCTGCCTGAGGAACAAATTGCCACGTTCTACCACCAGCTTTTGTGTGTACTCATTTGTGTGCTCGCGCCGAGCGTCAAACGTTGGTCGTAAGACAAGGCATTTGTCGGACAGAATGCGAGAACACAGTCCCGTTTCTCTGAGTGGTAGTGGGAAGAAACCAGGCCCAAGCGCGATTGCATCACAATTGGCCGAATCCAGTCATGTCATAGACAAGGAGCAACGCTTCACCATCATATAAGGGTACCTCTGAACCGATCACGATGGTATGATCCAGATTACTATCGATCGCAGAGGTGACTGGAATGCGAATGTTGGATCTGCAATCTTGTATCCAAAAGAAACTTGTGCGACCTCTGAACTTGAACTGGCCTACGAAACATCCGGTCCCACAAGTCTGTCTGACATTGACGTCACTTATCTGATTCCGTGACCCATTGATCTCTCCCTCATCCAAACCCCTTCCCTTGATTTCTATTTCTCTAAAGTGTATGTAGCCCCAATCTCAACCTTTTCTACGTGATTTCTGCTACTATATAAATTGTGATGTATTAGCCAAGAGGAAGAATCACAGAAAACAAGCTTTGTTCGCTACCTTCTTCGTTCTCATAAATAGACCCAGTTGTGGGACTGAATTCTGCAATCTTCCTTGATAAGTTTCGTAAGTTCCCTCGCTCACAACACCGATGATCACAACCAGGCAAATATTTGAAAGGTGCCAAATTGGATCACTTTTTGGGCATAAAAAGTGGTAGGTAAATAGAAGTATTGCAGGTACCACGAGTTCACCAACTGTTTCTGAGATTGCGACCAGGTAGCTGCACGTGGATTAGAACGGCACATGATGCCACGCTTGTGAAGGGTATTGACAAATAGCACTCATTGAAATTCTAGCCAGTTCACGGTTCCCAGTGAGACATAAACGTGCAAATGTGAAAAGTTGTTGCTTAAGGTCCCTATGATATTCTTGGAATACCCGGGGTTAGTTACAATTTAATCATGGCAATGTCACCTAAAAATGAATACCACCATCACCCTCCTTGAATCGCCTTGTAACCAGTATGGTTTCCGATAAAAATAAATGAACTGCACGGTGCTCTTTGGCTTTTTAGCCTACACTAACTTCACTTACAAGATAAAATATCCATTTGAAAAAAAAACTGCGAACTTTGAACAGCTTATTCAGACCATAGTCTAGAACAACTGCGAATACCACTTAAAAATACCACTTAAAAACAAAATCTAAGTAGGTATCACAAATATATGATGAACCATAATTCGCAGGTGTCTCAGTTCCTCATGGGTTGGGCATTGGAGATTATGTCACTTCAGTGAGAATACATACACGAAAAAGCTGTTCTTCTTTGTTACTTGGATTTACGTGTGTGCGTAATTCCGCGTCCGACTGACACCCACTCAGGTCACGATTTCTGGAAAATACTTCGTAATGTGTGCAGTGGGGCAAACGTCTAAAGAAGGTCAACATTTGAGCAGTATATGAAAAGCAAAGGGATATGGCAGAGATTGCTCCACGTTTTCCGTTTTGCCCGCTAATTCCTTACACACAACTCATGTGTGCAGGTGAATCCGGAAATCCAGGACGATGCAGTAGTCTCACCGTTTCGTACCTTTGTGTACTAAGTCATCTATCACGTTTTTTTCAGTGTGCGTATGATAAAACCAGGCAAAACTTTTGGGAAACTTCTCGGGAAATCAATAGACTGTTACTCTTACGATGCGCTCAAAAGATTCAAACTGTCCATTTCATTTCAAATAGGCAGTTTCATCCTCAAAAGCAAATAAGTACTTGAATTTCAAACCACGTCTCAAATTTATGTTTCATTATCTCTGCGTCTTCGGCAGTCAACAGTTGCGGTTACCTACTGCCACTTATTTCTAATGGAGCGAAAGTCATGCTGTCAACGATGGTGAAACAAACTCGTCGTTGGTTCGTCTAATAAAGTAAGGCCGCCAAACGGACTCAAATAAACGAAATCTTCCAGGTGACAAATATTTTTCTGGATGGCGCACTTTTCACCTGACTTATCATTTCGTAAATATTTCGATGACCTCTTCGACTAAACTGTATGTGCGCAGACTGGTATAACTACGCTTTTGAGTGGTTCAGCCACTAGGCGTTGTCAATAATGAATTATAGACTGACTGGTTCTGGAATAAAAGAGTATATTTTTTTAGCCAGAGGGGATTTTTCTACCAATGTTTGAAGCAGTATTTAGGAAGCAACTTAAAGGCTGATTGAAAAACGTGAGCAACAGCAGACAATTTAAAACGTAATGCTGGCGCTATTTACTAAATTCACAGAAATCGAGATGAAAAGGACATATATCAGTAAAAAAATGGTATTTTGAAATTAATGAATGCTCGCATCAAGACCTGTAGTTTTTCACAGGATGCTCCTTTGAGCTTTTAGCTTCCAGCCTTACTATTTTTTCAACACTGTAGCATTACTACCTGTTCCACAACTGGAGCGTTAGACTGACTTGCGACCAGCTAAACCCGGAGCTGTGGACAGTTTTGGTACATCAGTATCAATGTGTCATCTCTGGTTCCCCACGGCTTTCTATGCCTAGTAGACTAGGATTTTCTAGGCTACAGTTCCACATGAGCTTGGGTTGTGTTAGGAAAAAGAATTCGCTACAAACGTTTACGCTCTGCTGCTCTCCTCTCGCGGAGTTCCTTTTCTCAAGTTTCAGTGTGACAACAGTTTCAAACACAAACACAAAACATTTGACACTGGAAGGAAGCAAACTAGATGTCGCTTCCTTAGTTAAATTAAAAAAAACTCTCCCAAGTTCACCGACTAGTTTAGGCGGTTGATGAAAGGAGGGTGGACCGTTTAGCGGAATAAATCACTTATATGAAACTAACAAGGTATCGACTTGAGATTTAGGCAGCATGAACACCGCCTGATGAACCTCAGAAAAGGAAAACAATATAGGTGTTTTGAAATAAAAATTTACCAGTCCTACGTGTGATATTCCTGCGGCTAGTGCTCATTACTTGACATTTCATATACTTAAGCACTCTGGTTCAGCTTGACTGTTTTTTCAAACTGAGAAGTCACTGAAATGTGCTTTACGTTTCAGGCGGACCATTAATGCTTCAAAACCATCACAAAGTTCTATGCGCACTTCAGGCACTTGAGATATAGTAAGTTCGGTTGATGATATTAGATAAATAATCTCAGCCACACTTTAAACGCGTTCCTTCGATTCTGATTGGTGAAACCACTTTATACCTGACCAAAAATGAACAAACTGATTATGAAAGTAGTTTGTGTTTGACGTTAGTTGTGGTAGCAGTTGACAAGACCACGCGACAGATTTGGTCGTGCGAGTTTTCATGTACACCTACCATAACCTGTGTTTTTGAGCTGGTTTGTTCTACGGCTCACAAAGAGTATACGAATTTGTAATTTCACCACAACCACGGAAGTCAAACCCCAAAATGCCATAAGGAGCAGGAGTGGCAACCAGGGGCAAAACGGTCAAGTGTCCCAACAGCTAGCCAGGGTGTTCACAGCTCCAGGTTGGAACCCTCTTGTGGTTCAGGAGATGAGCTATGCTGATGATTCCCAGCTGCAAAATACCCCTCGGTTTCTTAGACCTAAAGTTGGCTCCACTTGCGGCATGAAATCTCCACCAGAAAAATAGGACTTGGAAGGTTCTGTACCTTGTGTCTTCTGCCAGCTTAAGAATGACGTTAATTGAATGTTCGGGGCTGTTCAGTAAGAAGTCTGGCGACATAATTTCATAGCAGACGTGTCATATGTAGTTTACCCATGCGTGGTATACAGCCTATGCGAATCCGTGTCAATATGAATGCGCCTGCACACATTCTCAATTAAATGTCATCATTCCTGTGACTCTCTAAACCTGAAAATCTGTTCTGGTTAGACCTCAAAGTTGTCCTATCAAGCTCAGAAAAGCGTTTAGTTTGACATGCTATGGTGTAATGCTGGATGATGTTTCAGAAAGTGCATAGTTTGTCCTCAAGTTCGCTTCAATTTCCACGCCTTTAAAATGTGCCTATCTTCACACTAAGAATAGGCCGATCAAACAAGCCACAGTTTTACATCCACCAAGCAGCAAACGGTGTTTAATCAACATCCTTTTGCCAAATTGATGAACTCCAGCACTAGGAATGCCATACAAACGCTCGAGTAGCATGGTTTATCACTATGATAATAAATAAACGGGCAAGCAAGCGAACCACATCTGTGATTCAATAGAAAGTTTAAAATTCCACCAGTAAACATATTCAATGAAATCATAAAACGAACCTACAAGAGAGTATCTCCGGAATGCTTCCCATGTGCCCTCATGTCTATCAAACACACCAAATATCTCATGCTATCCGAGGAGAGATGTGACGCAAGCCGGTCAGTCAAGATGTCTGATGGTCAACCGAACCCTTTACTCCGCTCTTCTGAGTTGGCATGCCATTTTCGACTAGCTTTTCTGTTTGGTTAGGCACGTTTACATTGAGTATATGTTAAGTAAATCGGGAATTTAACGTAAGATGTTGCTCCCTTAATAAATGCGAATATTACCGAAATTTCCTGTAACTACCCAACAGTTTACCTTTGGGCACCATGAGGACGTTTGTGAATCGAGTTGTGAGATTTCACATACCCCCCATACGTTTGGTCTAATATATTTAATGTATATATGTGAGAGGTATGTGAAAATTAAAGTTCTCACAATGAGAACAGTGCTGCTGACTTAAGCCACTAAAACTAGAGCAGACACATTAGGGGTCACTATATGCTGAGTCTGTCAGGTGTAAAATTGAGTATAATTTTTGAAGTTGTGATGGAACCAATGCAACCGTTAGCGCGTGACGAACGTGTTTCAGCGGTCCCCTAAATGAACGCAAATCCCTTTTGGCAGCTAGAAGCCCGCAGTGACTGTCAGTGGGGAGTCGCAAAGCGCATATTGTAGAGGGTATTATCATGTGAGTGAATACACCGAATATGAAGCTAAGCGATATCTTAGGATTCAGTGGATGCCCTGAAAACTCAGCGCACAGATGGAATCCGTGTAGACAAGTGAGTAATGCAAAAATGGCCAACGAAAGCTGACGCTGCGTAAAAGGCTGTCGACGCTCGTAAACAAGTTCACCTGATCAGACGGGATACTTTGCATCCCTTCAGATTTCGATGGTGAAGCGTCGCTTATCAGATGACCGGATTTTGAACCTCGACAAAGCCAAGAGACGAAATTGAGGCGGGTTCATCCGCCTTTCGGTGTGAACGCAAGGGAATACTTGCTTCAGCGAAAGGGGGAGATTGTTCAAACGTGAGTGATATGAATGTGACATCCAGATTTCCCGCAATCATTCACAACGAAATTATTTATCTCTGCTGCCGTAT